TAATCCTCTTCTGTAGATAGGATATAGCACATATTATATACTTTTGACCACTAAACAAATACCATTGCGTCAGCACAAGGGTCATACAGAAGTTGATTGAGACACTCAACTCTAGGAAACAAATTTCATTAGTGAAGTCAGCCCTTCAAGCAGGTTTTCTTGATCTTATTAAGGATCTGAATGGAAATCATGTGATACAACGTTGTTTGCAATGCCTTAGCTGTCAAGATAATGAGGTAAAACGCCTCTCTTATAATATTTTCCCTTAATTTTTAATGCCAATCTTACACTTAGATATGATATCTGTTTTTTCACCTGCTTTGCTTCCACAATCGAAAGTGGATGACTATTTGGTCATTTGTACTGCGTGAACAGTATGATGCAACAAAATGGAAACGTAGGATCCAAGGAGAAAATGTGGAAAAATGAATTATCTTGTTAGCTGCATTCCTTATGGAAATCGTTTCGAATGAACTCTCAACCCAACGTTTCCCAAAAATATTGCTACTTTACTATAGTCATACCATATGATCTTGGTATTGTTAAGCTCAACCTGACACTGCCTAGCTTAGGATGTTATAATCGGAAAAAGGTTCGTTGTTTAAAACCTTTTGTAACATCTTAAATTACGTAGAGCTCCTGTATATCATGTTCCAACTGGTTCAATATGCTAGCTCAATAAAATTAGATCGTTAGGTGCGTTCTTAAGCCGTTAACTCTGTTGAGTTCTATAACCATCATCTTAGTGGTATGTTCTGTTTCAAAAAGTCAGGATTAGAGCTTTTAGGTGACTGTGGAACATGCTCAGCAACCTCCGAAATCTTCAATGCTTGCATACAGGGAGAAAATATGCAGAATTCTTAATTTAGTTTGAAATGAATATGGTTGCAGCCTCGCAGGCGCTGAATATTTCTCCGAAATTACCTTGTTAAGTGCCTCTCAAAGTAACGTTTAAATATCCATTTCCACTTCACTTTGAATGCAATCTTTGTTTCTGAAAGTTTACATGAAAGAGACAGGTCTTTCAAACAGGCTCAGTTATGATGGTATGCATGAAGGTAGGTAGGCACAGAATCTGAAGGAAATGTGTAAATGGAAAATTCAATTGAAAGGAAGTAGTTTGTTGCCAAAATTTTCTGTATGAGGAGTCATTCTTTTTTATTGAAGTTACTGACAAAGTAACATTAGTAATTCAAGCCTTCAGAGAGGCTCTGCTGTTTTTATATCAGCGTCATATTGTCCTTGCTATGCATAAATTTTCTAGAACTATACCTCTATTATTGAGTTTGTATTTTCTTGCCCGCGCACATTGTTCCACGATCTTTGTCCCCCCCCCCCCCAATCTCTTTTTTAGTTCAATTATACGATTAAGTTAATTCATTCTCGTTTACCTTCATTATGTTTCACAGTTTATTTTTTATGCTGCCGCAAAGTTTTGTGTTGACATAGCTACTCATCGACATGGATGTTGCGTATTGCAACGTTGCATTGATCATTCGATCGGCAAATATCGAGATAAGCTGGTCGCAGAAATATGCAAACATGGGCTTCTTCTTGCTCAAGATCCTTTTGGGTAATTTGCCTTGATCTTTCATCTGTTAAGAATTGCTTATTTTGTTTGGGACTTCCAGATTTGAGATAATATTGATGGGCTAAATTGACATACTTGAAATTTGCTCCTATTATAATGACTTCACAGGATTTACATTCAATAAATATTAATGACTAATTTTATGATTGCTTAGCGAATAAATATAGTCATTTTGTCTGCTACAACTGTTGTCCATGTTTTTTTTTTTTTGGTTACATGAGGGGCGGGATTGAACCCGCACATTACCAACACACGCACACACTAGGTGCCACTCCGCCTAGAGGCGGTTGGCAACTGTTGTCCATGTTTTGAATAGCCGCTATGCGTGATAAGAGGTAAGAATGGGAAGTAGATAGTTTTTTTTTTTTTGGTTATTTATTATTCATAAGTTACTTTTAATTATAGTCCTCTTGAATTGACATCATAGGACACTATACTTTATAAGGAGCAATCATTAGTCCTAACTCATAATAACGAATCAAACATCATCTTAGTTTAAATCAAAATCATTTTGTAAAATTCAATAAGATTCGAATAAAATGCTATTCAAGTGGATTAATATACATACATCTATATAATTAAAAACTAACAAGTTACGGTGTCTAAAAGCCATAAATAATGCTACTTATTTTCCAAATCCCTTACAACACACAGGACGCATGCTAGTTTTTCAAAAGAAAAAACACATAAGGAGTTTCCTTAAACTCAAAAATAGTACAAAAAATAATAGGAAAAAATGTCTTTTAAAAAGGTGTGTATAATGCCTTTATCTGGCACCAATAATGACAAAATCACTACACGTGCTCGGTCTAGTCTTAATCACTAAAACTAACACTTCCATTTGTCATTTGTCAGAAATTATGTTGTTCAGTATATAATAGAGATGGAGATCCCAACTGCCTCAGCTAAGCTGATTTGTCAGTTCAAAGGGAACTACGTAAATCTGTCAACGCAAAAATTTAGCAGTCACGTGGTTGAAAAATGCCTTAAGCATGTTGGAGAGAGCAGATCAAGGATCGTCCGAGAATTGCTGTCTTCACCTCACTTCGAGCAGTTGTTGCAAGATCCATACGCCAACTATGTCATTCAGTCTGCTCTTGCAGTGACAAAGGTTTAAAATGTGACATAGATGAAGCTCAGTTTGCATATAATTTTAGAATTGTCAAGCATGATTTCATCTCCCCTTCTTGTTGTTTGATTTCTGATGCAGGGTTCCCTTCATACGTCTTTGGTTGAAGCAGTTCGTCCTTACAAAATCTTGCGCACCAGCCCGTATTGCAAGAGGATTTTCTCGGGAAATTTACTGAAGAAGTAGTGTCTGACAGCCGGACAAAAAATGTTGTTGTTTTAAAGAAGATCGCTCCTAATTAAAACTTCTTCTGTTGTCTAACTTAGCCACCACCTACTATGTGTATGTATGCTTATTAGAATCAAGGTCTAATCGACTTGGGAAGAATTTTGCAATTAAAGCCCCTCGTATGATCAACTGTCCGAGAGTTGGAGAGTCAAGTGTAGTTACCAGATATGCTTCTGTATGGCGCTGATGCATCTTGTATTGTCTTTTGTTGTGGTGTCCAATGGTTATGGGATGTTGTGTTGAAGTTTCTTGATCTTTGTTATGTACATGATCCTGGATATCTGTTTTCGAAACTTCATTTATATAATTATAGCTAGACATTGCCTACATGTGCCTATTAAATTGCAACTTTTCAGATACATGATGCGACTGAATATGACATTTTGGATGAGATTGACAGGTTGATATCCACTTGATGATTAGATTTTGAATAAGATAATTATTTGTGTTTCTTGAGTTTGGGGCACTAGGCAGGCCGAAATCAATCATCAGGGTATATGATAACCCTTCCGTTGACCATTGCTTTCACAATGTCTTCCGTCAACAAGAGATTGACCCTATTCAACATCACCATTGCAATTGGTTTTTAATGTTCCGAATCTTTGTGCGTGAAATATAGTTAATTAGCAAGCGGTACATCAGAACTACATCCCAAAAGGACCCTGAAGTCCCATTCGATAATGTAATTGTATTGGCTTCAACGTACATGCTGCTTGATGATGTATAATAAGTATAGATTAGATCTTAACACAAATGCTTCAATTCAAATATTTAAAAACACTTAAGGGGTGGAGAAAAGAAAACACTGGCGCAACAAGGCTCGATTATCCAAACCCAACCATAAGGTACTTCATTACTCAAGCATTCGTTTCGTAAGTGTTGCAGAAATAGCACAACCTAGCAGTAAAACATCAATCCCATCTGAGACACAAACTTAAAGAACAAAGCAACGGAGAAACCATGAAACCAGCATATTGGGGGCTCAAGCATCCTTGGGTCCTATAACGATAAGAGCTTGCCATTTTTCTTGCAGTGGTTGGTGGTACCTAACTATCTATCATGACGGCCCGTTCCAGAGGGACACTTTTCCTTCTCGAACACAGTCAGTGGTGGTAACCCTGTCTGCAACAAATTTCAAATCAACCTCAACCTACGTGGCAACTACTCGTGACGGCTTTATCTATTCCTCACCTCCAAATACCATTCTGTGCGGATCAACCAATTCACAGTGGATCTTTGTAATGCTTCAGTTTTCAGATCCTGCAAAATTAGAATAGCACGCCGAGCAATTTCATCCATAAATAAAATATAGGGTACTGTTAAACTGTTTTCGAAGTTCAAAAACCAAACCATAGTTTTAAAAGTGCTTTTACAGTATATGAAGTAAATATGTAGAAGAGTTTGTCTTGTTTTGCAGGAAAGTGCTTTTTAAAAACACTTTTGAGGGTTGCTAAATACTCCCTAATTTGGATGAACAGTCATAAGCACTTATTTTACGTAAGTCAAGAAACTTTTTTACATAAACCAACTTATAAATTTACCTCGTACTTCGTATTGCTGTGTTAGGGAGTGTTTGGATAAAAACAAAACCATGGTTTCAGAAGTGCTTTTACGGATTACGAAGTAAATATGTGGAAGAGATTACCTCGTTTTGCGAAAAAGTGCTTCTGAAACCACGGTTTTGGAGCACCCAAACAGAGCCTTAATATTACTGCACTTGCAGCCAAACCTTTGGTTTAGTTTTTGTACTTCGCAACATCGCGTGAAGTGTTGAATAGCGAAAAGGTAGGTCCCTAGCGCTAAGTTCAACTTTTTGATCGTTTAAGCGAGGTTAACTTCTCCCCCCTCCCCCCTCCCTTTGTTGGTCTAGAGCCATACTTTTTGAGAAGGTAAAGTGATGTTGTTTGATAAAAAGAAAAATCGAACCTTACAGCAAGGCAAAATTCTATTACTTTTTATTCAATATTTTTATTTTAAATAAAACAATAGAACATGACATCGAGGTCCTCACAGTTTAGTTACCCTAGAAACTTGAAGAGCAACGAGACAAACTGAGTCCAAAAATTTATCTCAACTAATTAAGAAATTAGAGTAACAGTCGATACCCCGATAGGCTCTGCTGCCGCATGAAATAGGCCTACCTCTAAAATTTTGAATAAATTTGGTTATCATAGCCTATTCAACTATGCTCATTAGAATTTCTCAATTTACCAAAACCAAGAGTAAAAACAAGCAAATCCTAAAAATAAAAATAGAAAAAGGGTCAAGGAATGCATGCTGCAACGCGTCAGACTAGAAACGCAATTATAGAGTATCCGGTGTACTCTAGCCGGACCAGACTTCCACAAGGCCATCTTTAGGCAAGCATCACGCAATCAGCAAAAGAAAATGTGGGCCGAGCAGGTCCCAGTCGCGTAAGACTGACTTCAACGCTGTCGGACAGTCCAGCACAAAAGCAAGCAGCCGCGCCTGCTGAATGATCTTGAAAGAACCAATTCCAATACCAAGGATTGGTACAACACCGAAGAATGCAACCCAGATTTCACAACAACATGGCATAATGCCTCAAATGGTACGTACACCATCTCTAAGCAGCATTCAACCTTCGCGACCAAAGGCTACACAGCTATAATAAGAATTTGTTTTAAGTTTGTAACCGGAACTGCATGATTGAAAACTAAACTAATCAATATAAGGAGATTAATGGAGAACGGAAATAGAAGTGATGGAAAATTTTTTTGGAAAAAAAAAACTGACAAATATTGTAGGAACACTCCAGCCAAAAAGGGGAGAGATTAGGAATTGAACACTTTTTAAGAGCATCAGATAGAAAGAATTTCGGAATACAGTAAGGGCCACGGAATGGAAGAATGTATTAAACCCAACAAGGATATGAACCTTCCAAAAAAGTCCATGCAACAAAGTCATTAATCCAAGATGTAGACCAGAACATTCATGATTTAGCGACTTCATCCAGACGACTGATGACAGAAGTCAAAATAAGGCCACCTGTAGATCCCTGCGATAAGTGGCTACCCCATCATTCCTACAAACATAGTGTACCCAATTCAGATGGCTCGCCCAGAAATTTGTATTTTTTTAAATTGAAAAAAAGTTCTCTAGCCCAAAATAAGGGAGTATAATAAAGTTGTCAAATTGACAGGATCTTACATCAGCGTCAGATTTGTGAGATGGGCTTCGAGAATCAATAGGACGATCTCGTGGTGAAACATCTTTCTGTGCAGGTGATTGCTCATGACTATTCTGTTCATCATGCCGCTCATCTCGAGAAGACCTCCTGTGCGGAGATGGACTTCTACGAGGACTGGAGCCATGCCGAGCAGGTGATGCACTGAGGCAAATGCATATGTATATCAGGAAAAAATATGATGATGAGAAAATGTAGAGGGCAATAAAAAGCACAAGATTCAAACCTATCAACTGATCTGCTTCGAGTTCTTCTCTCATCATCATCTCTTCCTCTCCTGCGATCTTTATGCCGATCAGGACTTGCACTACGGCTCCTACTCCGGCGACGATAATCCCTATCCCTTTCACGGCTATCCCTTTCACGGTACTTGTCACGATCATATCTTTCCCTACTTCTGCTGCGACTTCTTCTCCTGTAGTCCCTGTCTCTATATTCATCCCTATGCCTGAACATTTTCCATCAGCTATAGTATAGACTGAAAGTGAACATGAAACAATGACCTCTAAACCATTATGCATGCAAACATGCACACATATGAAACACTGGCTATAATCATACTAACACCATACTAGATAGGTAGGTTATTGGAAGCAGAAAGCACCTTAAATGTATAAACTGTACTTGAGTCCAGCTCAAAAGCATAGGAAGAAAAATGAAAATTGGTACTGCTCATTAAGCAGAACCATTCACTCACACATAGCTTTATGAATATAAATTAACAAAACACAAGGCAGACAACTTCCAAGTCATAACACGTCCATTCCCTAAATTTGTTACTCTGCATGCACAATCAAAACGAACATCGACATCAAATAATATATTGCCTCAGATCTGCAGCATAATGCAATATTTGTTCCTTTCCTCACTTATTGCAATATCTGATGGGAAATATACAACTCATCCAGTTAGTTTAACAACCTAAATTACACCAGATAAGACTGGTTTTTACCAGTTCAAATGCAAACACAATCTGATTGGAGATCCAACCTAGTTTAATAGCCAATCTATCAGTCCAGAAGGCTCAGCTGGTTCAGTTAACTGAGTCAAGACTGAGTGTTGGAGGTCAACTCCAGCCCTATCTTCGCCAATAATTGATCGAACCGGTCAGGTGCCTTAAGGCGTCTCTATAGATACAAAGGATGATTGGTAATGGAACCACTACTGAGTTGGCAATTTTTATGTCGACTAAAATTTAAGTTGCATGACCTCCACTGTGTACCGAGACGCAACAAATGCAAACAACGCTCCGGTAAATAGTCTTCAGCCCAATTTTAACATGGTTTTTATGCATGCCCAATACACAAGTATATTTAATTCTCTGTCTCTTGATTTACTATGTTGTGAAACACAACCCTCTTCCATGATTAATACGAATAAGTAATAACTATAGGAACAAAGATACATAACACGAGAAACACACAACTCCTACGGAACAGAGGGAATCAAATATATAGTTTGAAGCATCTTGAAGAAGGCTCCTTACCTAGGACGAGGGCTGCGGCTTCTTGACCTCCCTCTTGGCTTGGAGGATGTTTCCACTATCCTGCCCTTTTGACTAATATATATGAAAATTTACGTCAGTTGAGCATACCAGTAGCCAACCAAAAAAAATATTTGCTAGCTATAGAGGAAACAAGTCTTCCGCAGAACTTAGACCAAGCAGAGTTTTAACTATCAAAAAGGGAACTGGCAGTCTTTTAAAGAATCGCCCATTTTAAATTGATGCTTTAGTAGCCAACCTGATGTTTTGACATTCACATTCACCGTCGAACCACTTACATTTTCTCAGCATTAGGTCCGTATTTTGCGAATTGAACCATAATTTCTCTTCCATCGACCACTCTTCCTGACAAGTAATGAAAATCAGCACAAAACAAAAAGCCCCATACTTGCTAAAGTCCTATTTATTATCGAGTTCAAGAGTGGAATTAACCATCAAGCTTATCAACTGCCTTCTGAGCCTCGTCAGCATACTTATAGCGAACAAAAGCGAAGCCTCGTGATTCACCAGTCCTACAAAATATGAGAAAACCCGAATTTATGTTCAAAGCAAGCCCACAGTCCCCAGTTAAGAACAACACAGAAAAGGAAGAGCGAACACCTTCGGTCTCTGGGGATGAAGACATCGACGACCTTGCCGTACTTGTCAAAAAGGGGGTAGAGATCGTCAGCGGTTGTACCTGGCAAAAGCAAAACGAGGCTGGAGAATTAGAATTGAGATGGGAGGAAATTTTAGAAAATTGGGGGGAATGGTGAAGGTAAATACGGAAAGTAATATTGAGGACGAGAAGGGAATAGGTGTCTCTGATGTCTGGAGGACCAGATCTTCCAAAGTGCGACATATTTGGTGTTGAAACGGCGAGACTGGAGTCGGGGAGGGGCCGCGATTTTGCCCGACTTCGCTAGGGTTTTAGAAACTGCGACTGCGCGAGGGAGCCAGCGCTGATAACATCGGGCCCACAACAAAAATGGATGCGCACAATCATTCCTTAATTCATTAATAGACCCATACATATTTCCTGGTCAACAAAAATTACCGCCCTTGTTCATTTTACCCCTTGCTTGATAATATCAAGCTCCGCTTGTAAATTTAAGAAATTAATTTGTAAATTGTCAAAGATAATTTCATACTTATTGGTAAATAAGCTTTTACTTTTTCTGTTTGAAAAAAAAAGCTTTTGCTTTTTACCTATTTGTAACTGTTCAAAATATTAATATGCGAGAATTTCGATTTGCATGGGAAAAATAATTCTGTACGGGGACTTAGCTTTCCCATCAAGAAATTTTATCATCCATCCATAACTCATTATGCAAAAAAAACAAGTTAATTATGTTACCTGGCAAAGCCTCAAAGCTTACCATATATGCACAGGGGAAGACCATGGAAGCCTGTCAAGAAAGCACACTCTTTTTTCCTCACTGAATTCTTCGAGGATGATATTGCCCCTTGAAGCATCAAAATTTTTACTTTTGGCCTTTAAGCTGGGTAAAAATTGTCAATTAAGAAGTATCTTATATTTTATCCTGATTGATTCAAATTAAAGAAAAATTAAAATATTGAGAATAAACTCAAATAAGATGCAAATCGTATGATTCTAATTTAGACCGTTAAAATAAAAATCAATACAGATATCTTTCAATCCTTGTCCTCGGTCTTCTCTCTCTGTTTTTTTTTTTTTTCCCGGGTAGTTAGTGCTCTCCAATTTTGGACTGTGGTTTTGGTCATGCTAAACACACCGTGCTAGATCTCCCGGAAAACTTCAAAATCTGAAACCATGCTCCTACCACTGAAGATTTTCAACAGCATGAATAATTGAAGAGGCCCAAACAATTTAAGGGAATCCTCCCCCAAGCCCACTGAATTACTTTTCTGCTCAAACAGTATCAGCCTCAAGCTAAAAGCCCAGTCTGAACCGTGAATGATCCAAGGTGCAAGTCTGCTCTATCATCAATTTATGCTCTTGTTTGACGAGGGTGCCTCTTTTGTTTCTTAAATAATTATTATTCATTGAAAATGAGAAGACGAGGGTATGAAAATCTGCCAGCTCAAATTCAATTTAGCAGGTAATATGGGATATCAACCACTTGCCATTAGAATACGAGGGTAGATTTGTAAATGTAACCGTATGCCTGGCGCAGGTTAAAACTACTGTTTGTTTATGGATGGTAAGAAGAAAGGGCAAGTGGATTTCGTGTTTGAGGGAATTTTTCCACTTTCAGGGGTCATTCCATTCAGGGTCCAGTCATCTATTCAAACACCATCCAACAACCTGTAACGGGCACGTATTTTTGACGAGAAGAACAAAACTTGCTCTTTCACCGATAAACAAACGTAACAGAGAAGAAAACACAATTCACCTAACATCTAACAAATAAGGAGAAATATAGGGCCGAGCTACAGCGTAGAGCGAGGTGAGTTCTGAGGAGGGAGGAGGATGAATCTTCTTAATCGCAAAATGACACTGGAGTGCTTGTTATTTTTGGATGGGCTGTCTTGAAAATTAATGACTCTGTCGTCAAGTCTTTCCACATCCTCATCATCACACTGCAACCACCCACTACATACAATACTAATCCTGCAAGCTAAGACCCCACTTTCCACACAGACGCATTATTATTTTCTTCGATTCAGGCTATATTATTCAACGATATAATTTGTTTATTGGAATGTAGTAAATTTCGGTTAGTGATGGGTCATTTTCACAATGTAATTTGACCGGGGATCGATGGTGAATCAGCGAGCAGAGGGTCCAATCATTATTTGACGTAAATACCTTTTTAATTTTTATTCTAACAGTGTCAGTTGACATGGTGTTCACTCAGGATTCTAGAACGATGAGGACATTATTGTTATCGGGATCACAGGTACGTTCTAATTTAGTAAACATTCGGCAGAAGTTTGTCTTCACTGGTACAAGAAAATAAAAAAGATGCATGAAAATGATTAGATAAGGTATATCTCCAAACACACACACCCAGTGTTTTCACACCACTGTTTTTTATGCTAAAGGCCTGCCATGGTCGAAGTTGTAATATTTTATCAATATTGCTTCGTTATGTGGCTTGAAAAACAGAACCAGTTTCAGTGCTCATCAACTTGACAAGTATTCTAAACTCATTAGATTTGGACTGTCTATATCTAATTTGAACGATCCAGATTTAAAATCTCTAATTATTTATTTTAAAATAGAAAAAACTTTTTTTTGAAAGGATAATAGTTAAGAAACTATCTCTATTTTGGATTCTACACATATTATAATAATTATTTCAAATAAATAAAAATAAAAAAGAAATTAAATCTAAATTATCCAAATGAAATATGGACAATTCAGATCTAATAAGCTTAAAGTGCTTATTAAAGTGATGAGCACCAATTCTTAAGTAACCATTGTCATCAGGTGGAGAAATTCTAGAACTTGAATACTAGGCTTCTTTAAGCTGGAGAGGCATGGTTGATGGTTAAGAAGCCCCCTATCCTTTAAGTTCACCGGTACTCTTGGAAATCCTGAGTCTTGGCTGAAAATTCAGATCTAGTACTCGTGTAAATAACCGCCAGCGTGGCTTCGACATTTTCTCCTGGGAATTAGGGTTCTCTGACATTAAAAATAAAAAGTAAAAAATCGACAGTGATTTTACTGGCCATTCGATGGATTCATAACTGAATTTGACATATGTAGAAAACAAATTTTCCACAGATTTACTGGCCATTGAATACGAATGCGCAATACATTGGCAAGTCGTATAATTCAGCGTTCTCAAACGCTTCGCGATAGCAACGTGGACTGTTTTTCAAACCAAAAACAAAATGTAGCCTCTTTAATTTGTTTTCAACATCAAGTCGCTGATTTTATGTCTGCTGGCTCATCGCATCAATCTTAATTGTCTTCGACAGAATTGACTTGCCCTCCCCTGCAAAGAATTTTAAAACTCGTTTTTTCTGACCGCATTGTTTGTCAATATTGTTCAACTCGTTTTTTTTCCGCTTTCACTAACTAAATGTCCTGTTCTACGCATTAATTAATATTCTAAAGTCTAAACCCACAGTCTCAAGGTTAGGTTGCTGATCACGTCAGGGCTAAGCACAAAGTAAACGGGCAGCTTTCGTCTGCGCCCAAGCTTGGCAAAAATTATGAATAACATACCGCCTTTAATCAGAAGTACGGATTGGATATATATCATATATGCGCACGTGATCTCATAAACCAGACGTCCGTTGAAGGGAAGGTAAAGCTTAGGCGGGTGATTAGATTCAACTACCATGCACACCTCCCCTAGCTAGGCTAGCTGCCCCAAATTAACATGCATGCCCCCTTAATTCTAATCGAAAACTGCATTCATCTCATTCCTTATAACTTCCTCGATCCTTCGTTTAGATCATTGCACGTTGTGGCTTACTTAATGACTCGCTCACAATTTCTCACAGTATTCATTGTTTTATCTGCAAGGTGCAAGACTTGGTAATTGAGCCCGAGATTTATATACATATATATATATATATATATATATTGATATGAACATTTATCATGATAAAAATGACACCCTCGCTCTGCTATTAAGCAACTTTTTTTTTTTGGTGACAAAGCAACTTAATTATATTGTTCTGGTTTTGGTAAAACCAAACACGTTGAACTTGATCTACAAAATAATAATAATAATAATAAAAGGCACTTTGAACATAAGAAGCCTCCTAATACTTATGTCTGGGAAAATTTCCCTTTAAAGTCGCGAATACACGTTATTATGGTTAGTTACTGACGGACCATATACTTAAGGGTCGCTACAATGTATAATAATGTATCATGGTCAGCAATATGGACAACAAATTCAATACATGCTCCTCATATGTGTGTACGTATATTTACTTATAACCATAAGTCGCATGGAGCGACTATATGCAGAATCTTTTGCTGAAATCACCATTTTGAAAGGGGAATATATTTGTTGCTACAGGGTTTTATTGCTTTTGACTGTAACAAATATATAATATCATAAATTCAACAAACAACAGCAAACATTTTCTCATATATGCATGCAAATTAAACGAGACTTTGTAATTATTTCATGGGATCAATTCAGTTATATTGATTTAGAAATATAAATGGTGATCGGGTTATATGCACTAGTAATGGGAAAATATAATTATGCCATCGATTCTGCGATGGAAAGGAGATAACCAACATTAATCGGATCTGCAACGTAAAGACGTATAATAACTGATTAGAGCCATGTGTGAAAGAACAATATTTGGTTAATTAGAGCATACAAACTTTTGAACTTACATTTAGTCTTGTGCTATATCTTCACTGTAACGCCCCTGTGCTTTATCATGTCATCTTATACGTATATCTGAAGGTTGAATATTTTACATCTCCCCATGCCTGAAGCCACATTTCCTAGCTATTTAAGTTAGCCCAGATGACAAGTGTTATACTCCTCCGGTCCTTAATATAGGACCCATTTAACTAATTTGATTAAATTAAGAAAGTTAGGTAAGTTAGTTAATTATAAAAATTGTGACATGTTTTTCCTAAAATACTATAATCATCTTTCTTAATACCCCTCTCTATCTTCTACTTGATTATGGTTGATGGAGTATCTATAGGGGTAATTTAGAGAAAATTGATAAATATGAGAAATGGGTCTTATATTTAGGACCAAAACCAATTCAGTGATTGGGTTTTATATTAAGGACCGGAGGAGTATGTTTTCTTTTCCTTATAAATTTATCGGAGAACTCCGAATTGAAGTTGTTGCAATTGCAAACCTATATACTATAATTACATGTCGTTTTATGTTATTAGCTAATTGTGATTAAACTGTCAGTAACTTTGAGAAAACCATTATTCTTCGGGAACGACTTTGTTTATATAGTGAGAAAAACCTCTTAAATATCTTAAGAAGACTGGACGTTATAGCATTATATATATACTGCCTTAATATAAAAGTTAATTGACTAATTTGAGTAAATTAAGAAAGTTTGTTAAATTAATCATTTATAATAAATAGATATCGTCTTCCTAAAACATCTCTGCTAATTAAGTGTATTAGCTTTAACATTTAATAAAACTTTTAATATGTGTATATACTACAAGAATTATATTGAAAAAATAATAATAAATATAAGAGACAAAATGAATTTGGGTTTCTTATTTAAAACCAAATTAAAATTCAAACTAGCTAGCTCTAATGTTAAGAAGTGGAGATAGTATATATATGGGCATGTGTGTGTATATATGATCAAACCCCCCTTTTTTTTGTATAAGTGCTTATCTCTTTTCATTTTCGGTCCTTTTTTTTATCAGCACTAATTAGATAGCTTGGCCTGATAAAGTTTTATTTTTTTTTTAATTTTTTTTTTGCCAGCGCAAAGTTTTATTCTTTATACTGACTTGGTTTCACGCCCCTGAAAATATTACTCTTCTTATATTCTTCGATCGGGACAAAATTATTTTTAATATCCATCTCATACGATATAAAATTACTTATCTTCTTCATCACAATTAATCCAAACAAACCCATAGTTGAATTTCGTGTAATCACTGATTCGCCACCTCGCCCCTTCCTTCTTAATGATAGTTTCAACTTTCAGATTTATTGATAATTTCCACTGATATAGGCAACTTTGAAACCGGCTTCTGTTTTGTCATTTATATTTACGGGAAAATGACATTCATTATGAAAGGAAAAGAGAAGTGCTTATAAGTAAGTGAATGCATGGTTATAAATGGGCGCGCACACCCACGCGCACACACATTAAAATTAAAAACAACGAGATAGCAGATATATGCATATAGTAGCTAATAATTTTGTAATTTAGAGGTATGAGAACTTCTCTACAGAGGAACAGTCGCGGGTTTAATTCTTTTGTAATATTAAGCCGTGGTACCAGTTCTTTTAATTAAAAAGATAAACATGTATAGAACAATTAATGAAAATTGAAAAAGGAACTAGTGCCGCATAATATTTTACTCTTTCTTCAGTGGTTTTTTTTTTTGACGTTATATTTGCTAGTTTGTTTATTTATAACCTTATAAATATCATTGATATTTAATTATAAATTCAAACCTTGCGTCATTTGTACGTAAGTCCCTAGGACAACAACAATCTGCAAATACCTTTCATGATGTCGCCTCGTGCTTGAATATTTTCTGTAAGCGGCCAATTGAAATGATTATAATTGGCATATAATTTCAACCAAGCAGATGTGGTGGAACGGACCTCTTTTTCATTATTTAATATTTATGTATACTAGAAAGTGACACACAATACACATACACATGTTATTACAAGGAAAAGAGAGGTAGCATGTATATAGTAATTAAATGAACTCAGGGCTAAATATCTATATATGAAAAATTTTAAAATTCAAATAAAGAGAGAAATATATATATATATATATATATATAGTAATGGAGGTTGAAAGAGATATTATATTGATCAGTAAATAGTAATTATTCTGAAGAATAATTTTTCACGTTATATTGAGTAGCTTATTTATTAAACCTTATAAATTCACTTTATTATTTTGCCCGATATAGTCATGACAAACTTTTGCAAAATAACATTTTCAGTTATCCACGTTACAAAAATATATTTTAATGGCTAAGATCAAACCCATACCTTTTCGATTAATGAATGGTATTTATCCACATTAAACCGCTGCTTTGCAAGGTAAATTGAAGAGGTGATGGATGACGAAATAATGCAAATCGTAGGGAACTGAGAATTAAAAAGAAAGTTTTATTTCGGAGAGAATAGTCAAAGGTGTAGGTGTAATATCGTAGACAGATAGACCTTAGACCATATGCAAAAAGACAAGCTCCGAGACTACGCTCGAGAGCCTATAAATAATGAGTAGTTCCCACATGGGGACGCAGAACCACAAGACGAAGGTGTCCAGCTCCAGAAGGCAGAAACAAGAAATCCACTGACTCCATACTCACAAAATGGCCGTCGGAGGTTTCGCCGTTGATGCACCTTCCAACTCTTTCGGCGGCGAGATCACTCTCTCCGTCGTCATCACTTGCATCGTTGCTGCATCCAGTGGCCTCATATTTGGATATGACATTGGAATTTCAGGTTTCTTCTCCCCCCGCCACCGCCCCTTTTCATTTCTCTTTCTAATTCATTCATTATAGACTGATTTATAGGTACTGCCTTATGTGTGCCATCCTATTTGATCGCCCTGTTTACAAATCTATATATGTGTGTGTGTGTGTGTGTGTGTATGTTAAACAAACATGATCTCCCCCCTGCAGGGAGAAGAGGTTCTGAAAAACCAAGAACGACAACTGCTTTGCTTTTCGCTAATTAACTATTAATTTATTATTTTTAAGCCAACAACTACGTTTTGACAAGTAATTATTATTAGTTCAGTTTTACAATAGCTGCTTCTTTATTTCTTTTCTGTCCCATAAACTGAAGTGAAAGTTATCTACCAAGCTTGACCACAAAGGAAGTTTGTTGTGGCAATGGGGAATTAGTGACACTCTGAGTCAAAAGTAATTATTTACGATGGATGCATGTGGCACCCGTGCCCTCTTAAGATTTGTTTATTAGTAACCGACAAAAATTATTTTATACGAAACTTTACAGGCATGTTCAATAGTTAATACTATTAATACCGGAAGATATAACTAAAATATAAAAGTTATCTGATTTTCCAATGTCATTACACCAAGTTTTGAAAATGTGCCTTATTCTAGAAAGACCTGCTATTCTTCTATCGTCACGGGACTTCACATGCACATACAAGCTAATAAGAGCTCTCGGAAGGAAGACCGGAATAGATATATTCTCGTCCCGCTCATTACAAATCTGTTAAATTTAGCTAACTTTTTGTTTCTTTGTTTTGTTTGGAATATTTGTAAAAATGAATCCCAGGTGGAGTGACTACGATGGCACCGTTTCTTGAAAAGTTCTTCCCGGCAATACAGAAGAAATCTGCTAGCACAGAAACAAGCGTGTACTGTGTGTATGACAGTCAAGTTTTAACGTTATTCACGTCGTCATTGTACTTAGCAGGATTGGTGTCCTCTTTAGCAGCTAGTCGAGTGACGGCCAAAGTAGGTCGAAGAAACACCATGATCTTAGGTGGCTGCTCCTTTCTTGCCGGTGGTGCCATTAACGGAGGTGCTGAAAATATTGCTATGCTCATCTTGGGTCGTATTCTGCTTGGTCTCGGAGTCGGTTTCACTAACCAGGCAAGTTAAAATAAAACTGGGATAAAGCACAAGTTTTCATTAACTATATAATAAATCCACGAACTAATTGTTCTGATGCCTTTGGGACGTGGTGTGTGAATAAATAAAGGCGGCGCCGGTATACCTATCAGAGATAGCTCCACCGAAATGGCGAGGTGCGTTCAACACAGGATTTCAATTCTTCATAGGTGTTGGAGTGGTTGCTGCCAACTGCATCAACTACGCCACCTCCAAACATCCATGGGGGTGGCGTCTCTCTCTTGGCCTCGCCGTGGCACCGGCGGTCATCATGACCGTTGGTGCTTTCTTAATTACTGACACTCCCAGTAGCTTAGTCCAGCGTGGCAAGACAGATCAAGCCAGAAATGCCCTGCGCAAAGTCAGAGGGCCCACTGCTGACGTGGAAGGAGAGCTGGATGAGCTGGTCAAGTGGACTGAAAAGTCAAAGGCCCTCCAGCAGGAACCCTTCACCACCATATTCGAGAGGCAATATCGACCTCACTTGGTGATGGCAATCGCTATCCCATTTTTCCAGCAAGTCACCGGCATTAATATTGTTGCCTTCTATTCACCTAACCTCTTTCAGTCTGTGGGTTTCGGAAACGGTGCTGCTCTGCTTTCAACCATTATACTGGGAGTGGTTAATATTGCATCTTTATTTGTGTCCACTTTTGTGGTCGATCGGTTTGGACGAAGATTCTTGTTCATCATCGGGGGCATTCAAATGGTTGTTTGCCAGGTATATATGCATTCCCCCCCCTCCTCTTCAAAGAGTTTAATTTGATTTCTGGAGTTGTAATCATCTGTGCCATTAATTAACTGTTGTGAAGGTTGCGGTGACTGTGGTGCTGGCACTTGCAAGAAGCACACAGCATATATCAAAGAGCAATGCGACGTTAGTACTGGTGCTATTGTGCTTGTATGCTGCTGGATTTGGGTGGTCGTGGGGGCCTCTGAGCTGGCTCATTCCCAGTGAGATCTTCCCACTGAAGATCAGAACCACCGGACAGAGCATAAGCATTGCCGTCAACTTCTTGACCACGTTCGTCTTGTCACAGACATTCTTGAGCATGTTGTGTCGATTTAAATATGGTGCTTTCTTGTTCTTTGCGGCTTGGATTGCTCTGATGACCGTCTTTATTGTGCTTTGTTTGCCGGAGACCAAAGGAATTCCTCTCGAATCCATGCATGCAATCTGGAGGAAACACTGGCTCTGGCATCGCTTTGTTGCTAAACGTGATGACCAGAATAATCTTTCACAGACCTGAACTTTTAATTACTATACTTTGAGACTAATAATATCGAAGATTTTACTCTTCCGATGCTATAGCAGTTACGAGTTGTGTATACATTATATAAATTTTATCTTTGTTCACTGTTTGTAAGTGTCTTTTTATTAAAAGCAATCTTATTTAAGGTATTTGAGGCCGGTTGTGTGAAAACCGCAACACATCCTTTTTTTCATAGACTCTTTCAAAAATTTTAGGCCGTTTGATCTTGATATTATTTTGAAGATGGTGATAATGATGTAGTGACACAAATGATTTCATCTTTACATCCCATTAAAGTATCGTATGGATGCACATTGAAAGATTTCATTTCCTTTAGTTGTTAGCAAATTATTTGTTCAAGATTCGACATAAATTATAACTATTTAAAAAAAACTCAGCGTCCTAATGGTCCCTTTTTTGAACTTTAAACATGATTGGTTGCAAATATAAAAAAACTGAATTTATGACGATGCAGTACTTCAAAGTCGGTAAGCATAAATGATATAAATCATACTAAATCATAATTAATATAGAAAATAATTATTCATAACTTTTAGTTCCTTGATTTGATATTGAATTGCATAAGAAACTCGAATCTTCTATGTGTTTATTTTTATAAAGACCAGTGATTTTTGGTTTGCACCACGTCGCCTTTGTTGCAAAGTCTCCAAGAGCAATATATGAGCACGGACCTTTGTCTTTCTTAGCAGGCTCCTTGGCCCAGTTTTAATGCTTTTCGTCCCTAGAAGTAACGTCAGGCCAGATTGACCGGCCTTACGGCTATTGTGGTGATCCATCTAATTAGCGTGTATATGTGTGTGTGTTAGGAACGGATAAAATTTCTATGCTAGTCGCATGTATTCTCCTACCAAAGGCATTGGTTAATTTTGAAGAACTCAAAAATTTGAAAATTCATATCTATCACCAACAAAAGAAGACGTGGGTTGAATTGCCTTTGGTAAGAGAATACTTGTATTTATTGGAAGAAAAAAAAAATTCTTCAAAATTTTAAAAATAATCGCACAAAGACTGGGCCACAGGCGTGGGTTGGACCAGATGTGCTGAAAAAGCAGGCCTAATTACTAATCTCGGACAACGGTCCAAGTTGACACAACATAATCAGATATATGATATGACCTCAAAAGCCGGAGAATGGTAGGGTTGTAACCACACCCCCCCAAAAAAAAAAAAGAAGCAAAGGCCATAGGACTGGAGGAAACGGAGAAGTCCTCCCACTCTGGAACAGCATCCTTCAGGGGTATAATGGTCATTTTGTTGTGATGGAAAGGGCAGTGTAATGAACATAGTGGAAATACCCTTGATGGAAAGGGCAGTGTGATGAACATAAGGGGTGTTCGCATAGAATTAAAATCATGATTTTAAATGTATTTTTACGGTATACGAAATAAATATGTGGAGGAATTTATCTCGATTTGTGAAAAAAATACTTCTAAAAAGCACTTTTTATGATGCCCAAACACCCCCTTAGACTTAGTGCTGAAAATCCCAAGCCGATAGTCGGAGGCTTGGTGTAGCAACAAAAGAAGTGATCAGGGCTTGAACCCAAGTATATATATACCTCTTCCTCCGTTCCTAATTATAAGAACTAGTTGACTAATTTGAGTAGATTAAAAGAATAAGTTAAGCTAGTTGTTTGTAATAAATAGGTGTTGTCTTTCCTAAAATATCATTATTAATTAAATGTATTGGCTAGAACTACTATTATTAGAAGGACTATCTTGAAAAAAAATACATAAATATAAGAGATAAAGTAAATCGGAGTCTCATATTTAGAATCAAAATAAAAATCAAATGAGATTTTATATTAAAAACCAGAGGTAGTGTATTGGTTATTGTAAGGCATATTTGAGCTGTGCGATGCCCATTTAATTTTTGTGACCAAAGACACCTACGACAAGTAAGCAGTACAATACTAAAACAAGGCACAAGTTTTAGCCACACTCTCTAGTCCCGATACAAAGCATTAAAAATGAAAGGTAATAATTATGATTGGACTTGAAAAAAACTATTAAAGAGTGTTATGTATAAGTAATTTTTTATTATATGGGATTAGAAAATTTTCCATAGGTGGGATTAGAGAATAACATCTCTCCCTATAGTATTTTCAAATTTCACATATACAGATTTGTTAATTCTAAATAATAAGTAATCACTCGTACTAAATAGTTTTTTAACATATTTTTTTAATCACTTTCTAATCTTTATCCCTCATGGACACTTAAGTTTCCAACTACCCACTTCTAATATGCAGCCTTTATGATGACACTGACGGAGTTCAGCCCCTTGGACAAATACGCACTGATATGGTCTCGTTAAATACTGAAACTTATGTCTTGGGCCTTATTATTATATTATTATTAATCAGAATCATTCCCAGTTTGCATTTAGTCAAACCGACCAAAGTGTTGTCCCAAAAAAAACCAACCAAAGTGACCACGAATTGAGGAAGCGTCCAAGGCACGCAAGTATTTACTCAGCAACAAAAAAGGTGGGACACTAATTGATGCTTCTCATTCCTCATGATAGTCATGCACCAGATAGAATTTGCGCATGTTGAACACCAAACTGATTAGTTTCATTCATTCTTTTGATATTCCAACCCTATCCGTCTCACGCCCTTCTCTGCTACTGCTTCATTTTTGCATGCCATAATTTAATACGCGCCTTTTCATTTAGCTCCCTAGCTAACCAACTCCTCCCTAACTCTGCTATTTATTAGTAATAATGAAATGGATCTTTGTTTCAGAGAGAATAGTACATCTTACTGTCTAAAAATGAAGTTACGAAGGATTCTGCAACTTCTTATCTTCGAGCTTTTCGTCAACTCACGCATAACACTGTTCATACATGAACAAGTATTTTTTGGGCCGCCCGATATCCAACACTTAATTTGGATCATATCACTAGGTATTTGAGTAACTGATTGATCCGGATCAAGTTTTGTACGACTACTAGTAGGAAGCAGATTCTCCCAACAAGTTTCAACGTAATTGCATCTTTAAGGCTTGAACACGAGACTACTAGTTGAGCTAGACAAACTTTTTACTAGTTTGATCAGGGGCTTGTTGGTTGTATATGAACAAGTATTAGTAATAATACGCTGAATCACATCGGAGCTGTTATATTTTAGTTTAACGGTCGTCCTAAACCCCCAACATATGCTCTTTATCAAGTTTAGCCTCGCAAAGCACTTTAAAAACCATAAAAACGACAGGGATCCGCTTCGTGTTCCCAATTTTTAATTACACTAGTTTCTTCGAAGACACTACGCTCCGCTGCTATTACATACATGTGCGTTATGGAATAACATATTAATGCCAGGACATACAGACAAGCATACTGATATATAGATACACATCTTCATCATCAAAACAAATACTAAATCGGACAGAGACCCTGGCACGATAAATTCATGAAAGGTCAATTATATTTAAGCCCTTCTGACACGCAAGATTAAGAGATAATTGTGAAGGGGTGGTGAACTGCGGTGCAGGAGAAATAAGCATGAAATCTGACAGACTGTGATAATGTGTTGAGGAGTGTGTGGAAGTGGAAGAAAGGGATCAGAGGAACATAAATGAGTGGGTTGGGGGCATTTGAAGGTGTGGAGAGGCTAAGTGGGGAAGAAAGGCAAAGCAATGGAAGGGAGATCAGAGAGTGAGGGAAGGGGTGGTTTAAAGTTTGGTCACTTATTCAAGTCTGCATTCAAAGTGATTTAATGAAGGCAGGTGGCATTCCTTCAAATCCAACCCTCCCCCCATCTCTCTTCCTATCACTTTAATGGTCTCGTGGAAGTTGGCCTCCTTCCTTAAATTTGAATCATCTCAGGTATTTCTCATAAATTACCTGATTTTAAACACTATTAGTTTTCTACGTTTATCTTTAATTGATATTAAATGCAAAGTATAACTCCATCCGCTTTGATTTATAGGACATTTTTTGGAGTAAACTGCGAATAAATTGAATCTCATTAATAAATCGTTATCTCTTTCAAAACATCTCGTATTATGAAAGATGAAGTATATTCAGAAAATGTTCGAAACAGAAGGAGAAGAACTTTATATCGAAGATTTAATAAAACCTTGATAGTTGGTGACTATTTATTTTTCAGCTTCTCTTTATTCATTTCCTTCTTCGAAGTATGTGTAATACTGATCTCCATGTATCCACCAATTATTACTATTGGTGACAGATAAATTATTTTTCTCCAAATCTAAATTCCAAAGCAACTAGTACATTTTTATATTAAATCACATGGTTTTAACAGGAAAAAACTAACTGATGAGAAAGAAAGTCTTTGAATACATCTATATATATATATATATAAGTGCGACATTTTTCAAGCCAGATTCTATTCTTTTATCTCTTTCTTTCTCCGTCAATTATAAGTAAAGAAAGCAGGTTTAGGAACGAACACATGAATAAAGATTAATTGAATGCGAAATTCCACTTGCGGTAAAGAACAGTCTGTTGTTGATGACCAGCAAAATTCATTTGGTTATGAAGTCCATTTCGGTCGCTCATCAAATTAATTTTATGATTGGTGACATTTGGCTAAAAGTAAACCTGGAGGCCTGACCGACCATGCAGCAATATATAGTAGGTGTCCTTTTCCAAGTTAAGAAGCTGGTCATAGATAGAAACTCCCCGCAACCCTTTTATATTTTGCAGGCTATTTCATCACGTCTTGCAATTCTACAAGGGAAGAAAAGTATGGTACGAATTGATTAATTGTGAGAGAAGGGGTAATTTTCATAATTAATTTTGCAGGTGATGACATGATGGCTTATTATTACACGGCGTTTTAATTCGTAACATTCAACCACATTCGCAGACATACGCACACACTTGCACGTCTCATTATGTGTTTCTGGTTTCAGGGTCGTAAATTGTTTGGCTGTTTGAAGGAGACTCATAAAAGCTAAGTTGTGATGTTTTTAGGAGGAAGTGGGGATCGTTGGGCATGAAGTGCAGCTGAAGAAATTAAGGCGAGCTAGCGAGTGGTTGTTTCAAATATTTATTTAGGAGAGAGAATAAGGAACAATAAATTATCCGGTCTTTTTTTTTGGTAACTCTTAGGACTTGGTTGATTTTAATGGCTCAAGAGGGTGTTGAGAGCTTTTAAGAGTCTAGTTGTTTAAGTGACCCAAATGGTGACGATGGAGTTATTATATCTAACATTAAAGAGCCATTGTCTTTCGCTACCTTCCCGCAGCTGTACACAGACCCCTTATATTAATGAATCTTTGCCATACCTCCCAGCCTCACACCCTCTTTCATAAAGTACCAATACTTACTCTTCACCTTTCGCCTTTCGGCTTGGATTTATAGTACGTCATGGATTCACATTAATTCATACCAAAACTAGGTGGTTATTTCTGCTAGATACTCCGGTGGGGTTATGGATTCTATAGGTTTGAAAGGACAAGTATTAGGATTTGACCCAAGTTAGTTCTTTGGTTAGGATTTCACGTCTAGGACTTTAAGTTCAGGCCTCGGTGCTGTGTATTTACTACAAGGGTGCCAGCATGGAAAACCACGTCATGCTTAGGCAGGCAAAGTCCTTTAATTTTCGTGGAACCTCCATCCTTATCCTATATAACCACTTCAAACTTTGGTGAACATTTGGTCATTGAGACGCACCTTGAGTGGAAGTGATGGTTTCTTTTCACAAAGCCTTGGCCGAGAGTCCGAGAAGTGCAGTCCCTGCAGAACTTGAAGCTTCATCAAAGAGGAGAAAGAGGGAAGAATCATCTCCTGTAGAGTTCTTCAACGCTCAAACTGAGGCAGAGAAAAGGAAATCCACATCAGATAATCAGCAGCCATACCCCAGTGTACGTGTGTATTTATATATTGTGAAACTTTTTAGAATCCATAGCTAAATAATGCATATTATTAATTTACCTCTTTGATCTTCTTAATGCAGCCAAGGATAAATATGAACACGCCAGAGGACCCAAAGAATAGCCTTGCACCCCCATCCTCTACTCAAATAAGCTTAGACCTTGAGCTGAACTTGACATTTGATCAATCACAGAGTAACAAGGCAGACAATTACAGCATAAATAAGAAGCAGAATGCAGGTCCACCTAGAAGTTTCAGAGTTCATGATATTTACGGTACTGAATCAAGTGATCATAAGAAGGATTCAGGGGATATAAGTCATTCTTCTTCGTCGAGGATGTCATCGGAGGGAGACCACAGGGAGATGGTTGCCACTGTTTGCATGCGGTGCCACATGTTAGTAATGCTACGTATGTCATCTCCGGCCTGCCCTAACTGCAAATTCATGCACCCTCCAGACCAAAATCCTCCAAAATTCTTGAAGAGAAAGTGCAGCCTCTTGTGCTAGACTCGGCCAGTTCTCAGCTTTAGCTCGACCAACATGTCCGTGGCATTAGTTATCTTCAATTTCTCTAAGTACAAGAAGTTCCACATCAGTGAAGTGATGCTTATTCCATTTCTACAGTAAATCTGACTGTTCGAGTGAGGGTGAATGGATGACTGATAAGAAACTAACGTAGTGTATCTTATGTATATATAGCGTTTCTCAATCATCCAAAAAATTACCCAGTCAAGTTATATGCCGACAGATAATAGCAGAAATTTAGTTGACTCTTTCGGATGATGGATGATAATTGATTCCCCTTCACTCATAACAGCGTATTTCATAAGGTGACAGAAATTTTGTGTTGTGGTTTTCTTTACTAGTAACCATGAATGAACAACCAGTTTCCTTAAAAATGGCCACTTTGCAGTTTGAGGTTTGAACCATTACAGTGTAACAGATCCTTTCGATGAAGTGAGTTTAATTCTTAATTCCACCCCAGCAAATCACCTACTATGGTATTTCTGTAGTTCGAAGCTCCTGCAACAATAATAATCAGTGAAATCTCGAAAGAAGATTCTATAAACTCAACCGTTTTTTACAGAAGCATAAATAAACACCATATATTGCAAACCAAAGTTCCCTAGGATTCTCATAACTGAAGAATAATTCAAAGTGAGGCTATGAATTTCACCTATTGACTAAGATGGTCACTGAGCCTCAAAGGTGAATACAGAATATAATGAGAGCAGATGAAAATCTGTGACATGGGTCACGTATTTTGTACATTTCCATCGCCCTTTAAGGCAAATTGAATGCTAGTGAAGCCTCAAGGCCCGAGCTCATTTACATTCTCTGCTTTCTAACCATCTAACTCGTTTTGGATGCTAGAAATACCAAGTCATCAATATTTGGAACGCTTCATCTAAAATTTCAACACAAGAAATTGCACTTAATCACTCTAACAATGATAATTCCATTATATTGATATTTATGTCATCAGTAATTATTTTATATTTTCATTACACTTAACTTCACAGTGAATTCTTGCCAGAAAATGCACAGCAATGAATTGGATTTAGTTTTATTAGGTAACCAGAAGATATCAACCCCATTTCACGGGGCTATAAATCAGACGATTGAAAAAATAGCGAAGGATATATATATATTGATAAGAACAAAAGATGTCGAACTATAATGATCCATATTATTTTGACAACACGACGCTAATAACTTTTCTATCTACTTTCAACCGCTTCAAGGCAATAGCTCTGCAGAGCCTTCTTGCTCGCTTCTAGTTGCAGGACTGTTTTTGGGTAGGATTCTGAAACTCGACATGAGAGCGATATGATCTGATGACCAAAGGGGTGAGGGAAGGCCGTTAGCGACATCTTCGTGATCCAGAAGATCCAGCACAGCTTCAACCTCCAAACTGTTCACTATCAAGAAGCATTTTATGCAGTTAATGATGGATTTTTTTTAATAGGTCAGCAATGATAAAATGGTTTCAGCATGGAACATAATCCAGAACTCAGCTCCATTAAAGTGAACATGCACAACCAAGTGTGAGAATATCCATGGTGCAAATTTTAATGTATAAGAGTCATGGTAATCCGTAGATTCATTTCTTAATACACCTTATTAAAGTGCTTTAGAGGTGCCAAATACAATTAAGCACATATTTACGTAGTGACCAAACGATGCTTTGAATTAATTTGCAGGTCCCACTTAGGGAACTCAATGAAAAGTGGTCCGAGAAAATCGAAAGCTGACATTTATTAGTGGAAAGTATATTACATACCAATACATGACTTGAGATCTCTTGGAAAAAAGATGAAAAATAAGAATCGCATGCCAAACAATTCACCATAATATGAGAGACTTGTGGAACAGAGTCCACCCCAAATGAAAGAAATCGATTCTATCCGCTGACAACACTCATTTTCTACTGGACCAAAGACGTCCTGCCCAAAGTAGGGCATGATCTTTTTTATATCTATCCAAATAATATCTAATATAACAGCATACACAGTTACTCCTTGCCCATTCCTCCTCATAGATCAAACACCAACACACATTTTCAAGTATGGGGGGGGGGGGAAGGATTCAAAAGCTACCACTATCTACATAGCCATATAATCGTTCACTGACAGAGCATTATCTATTCTTCCTATTCACTTCATCGAGGGTAACTCATTCCCTTTAAACAAGATCATCCCCCATAAAAAAGATCACTACTAATTTTCCACCTCCGTGTTCCTTTAAACCTCTTGTTCCTTGAACAGCTCTCAATGTGATATCTAAAAGTCAATCCCAGCCATACATGCAGCTCATGAGTAGCATCACATTACGCTAGAAGAATTTCATCCGTACAGCTTCCTATAAATTTAGACGGAGAAATTGGTTAGTTAATCCTTCTGGTTTCTCTCTCTTTCGCCTAATAGGACCTGTTTACTTGACAGGTTGATTTGGAAGTCCATGGTGATGCTTAAAGAAAGAAAAACAGAAAAATCAGGGTTGTCGAGTGTTCAAATTGTCATGTTATTCCAAAAATGTGCTTATAGATTTAGAGATGGCCAAAACAAAAGGAAGACACACCGCACTTGTGAAATAAAGGAAATAAAAGAGGTAACTAGAAGTAAATAAATGCATTTAATAGCCTAAACAAAGTTGCATAACTAGGGGGAACGAAAAAAGTAAAATTAACTGTTGATGTTACCAAACGGGTCCTAAAGTTGTTAGCAGTTTACAACTTGCTTCTTCCATAGTGGCTTATTGTATCTGAAGAATATTAAAGGGGTAAAATTGGAAAAATAGGCCGGTTAACACTGATAATTTCAACAGAGCGTTTAGCATACCCGTATAAAAAATATATAGCATACCTGTATAAAAAATATAATCTAAGGTTTTTGAGAATCGTTTTGAGCGGAAGGTTAATACAGGCTCCCTGGTTTTTTGGTTAAACTTCCCTAACTGTCTTTCGTCCATTGCAGCCGCCAAACCAAAACTTGCATATGCACTTGCCTGTAAAGGATTAAACTCAACTTCGGAAAGAAGAGTCCAGAGATACATTGGAACCATGGGGAGTGAAAACACGAGACTTACGAGTAAAAATCGATGAACAAGCTTAAGATGCTGATATACACCATACGGATCGACACTTTCACTGCTTTCTACTTTGCCATTAACCATGAAAGTGTAGGGATCACTGTAACGCCAATTGTAATGACAACTATTAATACCATTAAGAAAAAGCCAGCAAGATAGGCTTTTGGGAAAAAATGCTTAGGTTCTTCTGGATTCTAGTGTTACTTCCATTCACATAATTTAAACAGGAAAAAAAAAAGTTGTTTAGTCGCAAGTTGTTTCGCTGGACACTAACCTTTGGGGAACAGAGTTGAAATCTCCACATATTAATAGAGGTATTTCTGATTGCAGCATTTTCTCTAGCTCATTGACTAGGGTTACAACCTTTGCCCGAAGAAATAAAAGATGATACAGTAGTTATGATAATTCATAAAATTATTCAATAAAGGTTTTTGAGGATGAATCTCCATGATGAGCACCTGAAATAACTTCACATCAGGGAGTTTTGGATCTGAACATATATGTGCATTTACCTAGGGATGCATAACAAAATGAAGTGTCAGCAGTCAGACCATTAATATTAGTGAAATGAAAAACAGGTAATATAATATATCCAGTACCACACAAATTCTAGATTGGGCTGCATATTTAGTGCAGCTATTTTCCAAGGTTCCCAAAATCACAACAAGTGCTACATTGTCCTGCAATACCAAAATTTCTACAATGTTACAGCGTATCATGAGAAACAAGGGACTGGATATAGCACAAACAGATTATTTGGAACAGAAAAAATAATTTGAAAGAGAATTACATTTCTTCTTTCTTTGGTTGAATTATGTTGATGAAAAAGGAGAGAGAGAATACGGAAACCACAAAGATATAGGTTCGGGTTGTACTATATCTATAACGAACAAACGGCTATGCAATAGGGGGGAAAAAAGCAATGTGAGGCTAAAGATTTTACAGTTTAGTCCCATTACACTTAACTAACAACCCCCTGAAAGCTAACATTTTATCACGTAAAAAACTAGACTCTTAGTAAGTGTCCTCAAATTCCATCGGCCCCTTCTCTCACTGAAAGACATATCTATTTGTGGATAGCTTTCTAACAACAAATCTTCTTCTGGAAGCTATATGAAATTGACTAAGGTCTCCATTATTTTCGGTTAAAAAAAAAATCGGACTGGAAATATAAAATACTGATAAAAAAGTCCATAGGAAAAAAGGAAATCATAGAGTTTTATGAGTTTTTCTTGAGTACTTCTAGAATGAACTTGAAAATTAATAGCATTATTCTGCCAAATCCAAAACCAAGGGACCCTTTCGGATGATAAGTCAGATTCAATACCAAGAATAATAAGGAAAAGCCAAAGAGATAAAATAGAGAGCAAAAAGGGAGCCCGTGAGGAACTTCTACCTTCATGAGGTGTTTACTAGCTTCACTCCTTAGATCAGGTTCCAGTGCTTCAACTACAGGTGATGTTTTCTTAATAAATTCAACCTGAAGAAAGAAGAAGAAGAAGAAAAAATAATCAAATTAAGTTTTAAAGAAATGAACAATCCAGCGCTTCTTACCTCATGTTTCTCAACTTCTTTAAAGAGATGCCTCCGGTAAAAAGTTGCGCACCCATCAGTCACAAGTTGATTCCCAGTGTAAACCTGCAATGCATTTAATACAACATTGATAACTTTAAATGCAGTTGGAAGCGGCACTAAGTCTTCTAAGTTTGCGATCTTCACAATGACAAAAGTATGCATTTCCACTTTAAAAATCATCCATTAGACATCCTTATCCCTGTTGTTCTCCCTCTCCAACGAGTTGAATATGCAAATCCAATCCATTCATTCTGAAATAAAAATATTCGCAGTACAATACAATACATCATGTAACATGACAGGGCTAAAAACAAACCCAGAAAGAGGTAGTTTTCCACTACAAAAATCAGAAAGCAAACTTCTCTGTTTTATTAGATATCCTTAGATTAAGCCAAAAAACGAATAAAAAATGATCTCAACAAACCTACAGTCACTCCTGACATGTAAGCTCATCTTCATGTCAGTTGGTTCACAAGAAGTACAAATAATGACCATACACACAACCATTTATTTTTACCAAGCCTTTCTTCCTTATTCCAACTCTTGATAAATCTGTACGCCATGAACCAAATCTCATAATTCATTTGTAAGAATTATAATAGCTATTGTACATTACACGTACTTTTAACAGTTTTTGAGACATCAGTAGAAATTGATGCATGTAGCGACAACTTAGATTGTTGAAAAAGATTTGTTTCTTTGATAGATTAAAATTCCAAATGACATGAATGCACCAGATTCTATGATCTGTTAAAATTTCAGCATCATTTCCACCCTATCTGATCATTTAACAATTGTGTGTGCAAAACACACACAAGTGAGGGTGACCTACCTCGTTGTTTTTTTTCTTGTATATAGCCATGTATCCTTCTTCTGTCAACTTAGATTTAAAGAAATTTTCAAAATGATCACTCTGTACCTGCATAACGGACAGGACTGGATTACAGCAAAATTTACATTGAAGCCAAAATACAGGTTAAAGCAACAAAGCACAGGTAGCAAGACAAAAGTGCCAACCTCTTGAAGACAAATGATATCTGCATTATATTTAATGATTTCACGGAGCAAATTGTGACGGCGGTATTCCCATACAAGAGCCCATGTGGGGCAGTTGTGATACTTTTGGTAAGTGTAAATGTCAGACAGTATGTTATAGGAAAGAATGCTAAAAGTAAAATCGTTTAAGGATGTGGAACACAAACTTGAAGATTCATCCAGAAGTGGAATTGGAACCATAGAGCGAGGCTGAGCCACAGGAAATTCGATTACAGGGTTAGTCATTGTTTCATTTAGTTCGGACAAAGCAGTATTTGTCAAAAGGTCAACAGCTACACAATCCAGCTTCAAAATGGATCCAACATCATCCACTTCAGGCACATAACTTTTTGAACAACTAACCAAAAACCAATCTTTTCCTCCTCCATCCACCATTGCTGCCTCATCAGTCAAACATTCACTACCAAACTCTAGCCAAGAGCCACAACTTCTAAGCTTTCTCATCGTTTGTGCTTCACCAGTTAAGGTCCTCCTTTCAGTTTCAAAATGATGGCGCTGCTGATGTGCTTGCCATGAATTCAGCAAGCATTTTGTGGAGCAATGGTAACTCTCTTTCCTCGGGATGTTCAATTTAACACAAGACACGCATTGAATGGTAGCCAACATATCATCATGTATGGAGCAAATCTTTGCTTCTTTATACCTAGAAATACGGAGGTTTAATATTTTCAGGTTAAGCAAGATCAAGAGCATGATAGATAATCAGGTTAGGCTGGTAAATATAATTCAGGAGTCCATGTTAATAAAATTATTTGATGCCTTGGTAAATTATCATTGTATATGAAATATTAACTTCAAGCTTTAACACAACCACAACAGAGTCTCGAGGGCATGTGCATAAGCACGTTGCCTTTACAGGGCCTATTGACAGGAGACTGCAATGAAATAGACAAATTACCAACAAACCCTAATAGAAGAGAAAATTGAATTGACATTGACGAGATTATATCCTTCAAACATAATTCGTGAGACCTTTTCTCTACCTAATTAATTTGCAGGACTCACTCCTTAAAAATAAAGCCGATATCTTAGAAACATATCACACAAGTTCAAAGAATCGACTAATCAACATGAGATTATAATTTGTTCGGTGTTGTTTTCTTGTTTTCAGCGGCTGGAGGTCTTCCGAACTGTCGATATATTTTTTTTTTGTAGCCTGATTCCGAACTGTCGATACTAAACAATACAATTCAATGCTCTTATTTATAAACAGGATCTTTCACTTTTGTGTGATTTGTAACCGATAGTTGAAATACTTGCATTCGATGGAACCATACCTTATGCAACTTTGGAACATACTAAATCCAATGTACATGCCAAATTCCAGTTTGGTAACCATGCGTGTTTTTCGCCCGGGGGGTGTTTGGAATTAGGCAGTGACGCACTGGTCTAAATTCTACCGAGTTTATTCGTTTCAGTATCAACTAAAACTTCAAAGAAATAAAAGAAAGAAAAACTACCATTTAAAATTGACAGAACAGGAGTGAAATGGAACTGGAAGTGGCCCTTCCAATATGACCGACACGGACGGATTAATTTCGCAGCCCACAACTGGCATAGTTGAACGAAGAGTAACGTTGACTTTGCAACCGTAGCTCTTGGTTTCTGTAAAATCCATTTGAACTCCAGGACTGCAGGTACACCACAACTTGGAGAAAGAGAATTGACCAAATTTCGAAGTAGGAAAAATTGGAATCGAGCGAACAAAGAGAGGAATCTCCCTCGAAAATGAAATTTTTGGGGGTTGTTGGCGATCAGCCGAATATTATTCCCTCACTTCGCCCCAGTTTCCGTAGCCTGTCTGAGCCGACCGGCGTCCAACAGGCGAATATTTTTAAAACGAATGACCGTTGACGCCAAAACGCCATCGTTAAACACAAAAGTGATGATATTGATGCGCACGTTCTCAGCCAGCGCGGGAATGCAAGCGGGTTCTCAGAGAAAGGTTGCCACGTGGCAGCTCGTGGCGGCTGCAGATTATTGGGTCGAAAGCAAAGAGAGTGGGAAGGGGCAGACTGTAGAAATAGTCAACTGAGTCAAGGAACGCTTTGAGGATCGTTTTAAGAAGTTAATAGTACCTCCGTACTTAAAATAAAATCTCATTTAGCTTTTATTTTATTATAAATATAAGATTTTAATTTATTTTTTTTAAAAATAATCCTTCTAACAATAATAGTTCTAACTAATACACTTAATTAACAAAGATAATTTAAGAAAGACAATATCTATTTATCACAAATAATTAATTTAATTTATTTCATTAATCTTTTTAAATTAGTTAACCAGCTTTTATAACGGTAGTATGAAAAGATTACAATCATGCATCCCGACTTAAAATCACAAATCATAACTTCTATGAATCAACCACATCCCAAACTCATTTTGGATGCTAGAGCCCCCACGTCAGCTGGAACTTCTTTTTCTAGGGAACAGCTACAACTATTGAATGCGTCGGTTGATGAATGCAACTTTCCATGTCAGTAGAGTTAGATGCACTGAAGTTACACAATCTTTTATGCGACTTCAACGACACTATCAATTCAATGGTCAACCCTGTCATCAGTGTCACTCCTCACAAACAAAAATAGGCTTGAAGGATAAAAGGGTACGGGGTGAATTAAGCATGTGGATGAAGATCTGTTTGAATCTTAAAATAAAACTAAATTTGAATAGTACATACATCTAAATCCAGATGAGAAAGGAGATCGACTTCTTGAAACACACTTCATGTGACTAGGGGTCACTGTACATTCAGCTATATCCAGAGGAGGCAAAGCTCAGAGATTGATATAGTATACGAGCCATGTCAAATCCAGGGACATTCGTTTCATGACCTTAAGAAACAAATTACGTAATAATACTTCCCCAGTTCCCACGCAATAGGCCAATCAAAATATGGATTAAATGCACCTGACAACCGAAGAACCAAACCCATCGTAGTTGGCAATCAGCAAAATTACAATAGTGTCATGCAAACCAATCGTGCTTGGTTGGGATGATCTGCTCTGTACTGCAGAGAATGAGGGCTAATATTTGGTTGGGTGCTACTGCCGAAAGCCTGGAACAATAGCGTCGAGATAAAAGAACAAAAATATATTAACATGGAAAATGTGAAATCATTAAATGATTGATCAGGTAATTAGCTCTGACTATCCAATGAACCTTTGAATTATATATAATGTGACACTAACAAACAAATGCTCATATAAAATTGACATTTAAGAACTTTGTAGTGTTTTTCTCGTGGTTCTGAGTGAGAGCTGCAGACTAGTCAGCTCACTATACATCTAATAGTTTTAATTTATAAGTTCAAGATCATCGTGGGCATTGCGTTTTTATTATATAAGATTTCAAGTTTGAAAGTATTTTATCCTTAGATTCAATTGACCTTGTCGTTATCAAGCATTGGGATTTGACTTGAGAAGTTTGTTGTTTCTTTCTTATAGTAAGATTTTGTTTATATTCATCCAATAAAGTTTCTTTGTGCCAACCACTCAATAGAGTAAATTCAGAGAATTATTAAAACCAGAATTTACATCGTGTTATTGAATATAAATACCTCTAATCAAATGCATATGGGTCGTCCGCATAGGGATTTAGAGAACCTTCTGAAAACAAATCACCAATATTTGAAGGAGGAGTATGTCCTCCTCCCTTTGTGGTCTGCTCAGAGAATGAAAATAAAATATTATGTAATAGCTCAGATATTCTCAACCAAATAGCACAAAATAATTGGACATACATGTTAAAATTATTGTTCTTCTCAGAAAATGATAAAAAAAATTATCCCACAAAAAATAATTTACAAGGAAATAAATCCAAAGTAGAGTAGTACTTAAAATAGTCACAAAACTGATGACCATCAATGCTCCTAACCAGCGCCATTTCTGGTGGCCAGTAAAGTGAATATGAAGATGAAAATGTTGGTGCAAGGCAGAGAAAGAATTAATTTGATGCTGAATTTACAACCCAAAGTCATGAGAGCTTTGCAACTAGATGTTTTGAAATAATCATGATATGCATAAACAATGTCCAAATAAAAGGAAATTCAAGTTGACGATTTGATTACCTTCACAAAACTCCCAGGCATATTTGCTTTTGGTGTTTGTATCTTGTGCTTTCTCGGATCCTATTAAAGAGAAGAACAAAACATCGTTAAGCTTGTAAAAAGTCTGTACTCTACTCCAAAACCTAGCCATTTCATATAACATTATAGTTCATGTACATCGTCGTAGGTTTGATAGCAATTTTAGAGAATTAGATACATGCCTCAAACATGACAGTACTTCTTGTTTTTCTTCGCTTTGTAACGGTTCTTCCATTGGAAGTCTCAACTTCATATTCATGGTGAGTTACCTGTACATCAAGTGTATATTATAAGCCACTAACCTCCGACCATCATAAATTGATTAATAGCACCGCAATACTTCTCATGCCCTAGCTCATTGCAGCAAGGGCATCTGTAGATTGTGATGATGAAAACCAGAGACTTTTGCGGCAGTCACTGGTTCATTATTTAGTGTGAAATCAGTACAATAGATAGGATAATTCATGTCTACAGATATGAGAATCTCTTCCTAACTCTACGTCATCTAGCATCTAGAAAATAGATATCAAAACAAAATATTCTCAATGACAATTAACTAATATACTTTAGAAACCCTAATAGCCACATAATGGGGTATGACCCTCTCCCTTCAACAGTATCCGTTTTTATTTGAAGTTTATAGGGAAGTAATCCACCTTTCTATGATGCTTAGGAATGCTCATCGTACTTCCTGCCTTTGCATTCTCCACTTTCTGCAACAATTTTGACACCGGTGTTTGTGTTACTTCAAGGAAAGGAGGGTCCTGTCAAAAGTACAGAAATACAAAACAAAGTAGGTGATGAGTCAACATAATATTTACATGTCATAAGTTAAGAAATAAGTAAACTCCTTTTTTCTTCTGACTCCATTCTTACTAATGCTTGCTGACTATGTTGGCCACCACGAGAGCTCCTCCTCTTAATTGAGGAAGCAGGGTAAACCTATCACAATATAACTAAGTGTTATCCTACTTACACAAATGACGAGGATTTCAAGTTAGCTTTATGTACATATCGTAGTCCAATTTAATCAATTAATATAAATTCTATAAGCACAAAAGCAGTAAACATTGCATGATTAAGTTGCATTGCAAGCTGGTTTTGATAATCTGAGCTACAAGATCATATTTTGTTATCCTTCCACATCATGTTAGATTGATATAATATAATAGCTTGGGACTAAAACGGAAGCAATATTAAGTCTTACAAGATACATAAGCAATCTGAAAGACAAAATATTTTTTATCTCGTGAAAAATCTACACAACATAGACGAGATAGGAAGACAGATGCACATA